CTTTGGGGGAGTGTCTGTCTTCAAAAGGTTCCCTGGCCCCTTCTCACTCAGCTAACCTCTTTAGGTATCAAATTAAAGCTCACTCACAGATGCTCTGCCAGCATCTTCCGCCTTTCCACCACACAGAAATGATGGAAATTTGTCATTGCATGGTTATCCTGTAACTGCTTGTTTCACATCTAATTCCACCCCCACACCCAAAGAAATGCTAATCCCCCTGAGAAAAAGTTCTCCACGGCTGTCACATATGGTAGAAACTCAGGGACTATTTGAGAACCTCGGCCTACCACATCTTAGGGAAGAACATACAACAAATATGGATGAAGCAGGAAGTCATGGATGCCTTCCTGTGTCCTGGATGATAAGAATGGATGACTGGAATCATTAGTGTGTGCTGGCAAGTGTTTCACAGCAATTCATCTGAAAAGCAAACAAACACCAAACTGCAGTGTTTACCAATTTCCTTTGTGTAAATACTCCCACCGAGTAAATACTAATCTTTTAAGCAATAGACATGAGGTCACCGAATGTAAAACCGAGAAGGGGTGCATAGCAGCAATCCATCCTCCACTGTTTTTGTTGCAAGGGCATAGAAAATAGTAGAATACACTGCAATAATTAGGACGTGATGGCCCTGCGTATGCACTGCGTTATGTGCACTGCCATGATCTAAGTGTTAGTGGATACCATGTTATCCTAACGATGACTAACATGCGGGCCCCAGGAGCTGCAGCAGACTTGGATATTCTAACAGAGGATGCTATATTAGGTGGTCGTTGCTGATGGAAGTGGTAGAAAGCATTGTGAAGCAGGGGCAGGGCAGTGGAATGTGGCTATAAATTTTAGCATCTGAGCACCTGCTGTCCGATGCCCGCTCTGCCACTTCCCATTAGCTCTATGACTTGGGGGCAGGTCCCAAAACACTGAATCAGAGAAGGGGAAGGACGCTGGCATTTCCCGAATGCCCCAGGGCGCCGGGCTCAGTGGTGGGAGAGCTCTTCCTTGCCATCTCATTTAACATGCCAGGATCTGGGGAAGCAGAAAGTTCCTTAAATGGTGAGGCATTGGCTATTGGGAACGGGAGAAAGAGGAGCGAGTAGCTCAAGGGGGTGGATGAATGCCAGATTTTGAAAGCCAAATCTCAAAATGATCCGGTGGCGATTCTATCATCATTCCCCCCGGGTTACATCTCTTCCTCCTTGTTGTCAGCCGACTGTAAAGATGGAGTCAGTGCCTACAAGGAACTCTTCTTCCTCTGTTTGCCAAATATTTCGTATATTCAGTTAGGCCTCGGGAGGTACTAGCGATTGAGCCCCTCTCCACAATGAGCTAGGAGCCCTGGTGGCACCATGGTTGAGGGCTTGGCTGCTGAAAGACAGGGGAGTGGTTCAGAAACCCCACCCCCAGCAGCCTGCAGGAGAACGATGCAGCCATGATCCGAAAGAATTCACTCACTGCCCCCCAGTCAATTCCAACTGTTTAGGGAAGTAGAAAGCCTCATCTTTCTCCTGCGAAGCACCTGTTCTTTCAAACTGCTGACCTTGCTGTTAGCTGACTGACACGTAACCCGTGACACCACCAGGTCTCCTGGGGACGTTCTGAGTCATGTGGGGTCAAAGGCGCCACAAGAAAACCATGGAGTTGACATCATTATCACTGTCACAACTTAAGAAGAACAGGGACGAGGTTCAGTGACTTCCTAAGATCACACCGTCAATTGGCTTCGGGAAATTATGTTTCCAACCAGGGCTTTGAACTGTTGTAAGTGATTTTGATGGCCCTACAGAAACAAGGGCAGCATAAGTGTTGCATAGCAACCCATTCTCTTGCTCAAAGATGATGACCAGTCACACTGACACATCCTGAACATGGTACATGTGGCCAGCGTCTTTGAATAGTTCCAACTTGGGTCAAAATCCTACACCAAGAGATTTGGCCACTAGGCTATGCTGGGGTTCGTTGTCCAAGACTAAACCTGATCCATTTGAAATCTTATTCTTTTGCTTCAAATAAAGCGACGCAGACAATATGTAAGCCCCTAGTGTTCTTCATCCAGAGAAGGGGGAAATGTATAGAATGCACACAGGAGTGTGCATATAGAATATAGGAGATAAAAATGTATGCATCATCTGAGGACCAGCTTCTTCGGTGTCTTCCATTAAAAGAGAGAGAGAGAGAGAGAAAACAGCAAGATTGGGCAAGTTGATACTATTTCTCCTTTTGAATGGGGGAAAAATTACTTTGGCTTAAGTCATAGCCTCCTCTTTTATTCTCTCACCCGCACACACCCCCACCCGACACACACACGTTCTGATGTAGACTCTGGCAGGTATGTGATTCTTTTCCTCCTTCATTCTTTGTGGCATCACTCTCACAAAGAGGTTGGTATTGTTTGGAGCTGCAGTTATTCCTACTTGGTTTGCAAGATCCTGGGGTATCTTTCCGCCGCAATATAGAACGATGCATCATCCAGACATTTGAATGCTCCCTGATGCATATTTTGAGAAAATATCCCTGCCATTTTCTAGAATTGATGAGCAATGTGGGGCTCCCCTAGAAGACATGCAGTGTGGTTTCCGCTAGGAAGAATTGCATCGAGTTGCGTCCAATTAGAAGCAACACACAATTACAACGAAGACCATTTAGAGAAACAATTAACACAGGAGGGAACAATGAGAGCGACAGAGATGTTAGTCATTGTCCTGGAATCTGCCAAACATGGGGGCTGCTTCGCTTGCCCAGGTTAAGTCTGAGTTATTTTCATTCCAATGCAGTGGGGCTGTCAGGAGACTCAAGACACCAAGATAAATCAAAGTATTTTTCCATCTCCCTACTCCTTAACAAACACTACGCATGCTATCTTTATCGGTTGCCGGAATTCTTCCAACCCTTTGGGAACCGTAGAACTTCTGTAACCAACCAGAGTCTTGGTTCTGTTTACTCCTGCCTGGATGAGCATCTCATTATATTTGGCCTTCCATGCCAATCACTCATTTGTCACCACAAATGTGTTAACCAATTATTGCATGCTATTGAAGGGCACACAAAGATGACTCCACCCCCACCCCCACCCCAAAATTGAAATTCTTAGTTTCAAAAGCCCCCATACCAGACCCAGTGCCATTGAGTTGATTCTTGATTCAAAGCCACCTTGTGAGACACAGTAGACCTGCTCCCCAGGGTTCCCGGAGTTGTAAGTCTTTTTTATAGAATCAGACTGCCTCATCTTCATGCCACAGAGGGGCTGGTGGTCTCAAACCCCCAACTCTGCTTAACCCACTGCACCGCTGGCGCCCCCTTTCGCATTCCAGTAGCTGGCAATTGTTACCACCTGAAGAGTCTGCCCTCTTCCCACTTGTATTTGTGCATCTTGGACTTTGTTGCCCACACCCCTCTAGAAGTAATTAGCCTGGAGTCTGACCTCATTAACATAACAAAGAGAGCCTTCTTTCCATCCACAGGATTGCATCCACTGGTAGAGGGTTTAAGATTCTATCACATGGTTGGATCCAACCCGTTTTTTGTTGTCTGCCGCATTCCACTTGGCAAAGCGCTTCACTGTTCACTGCAGGAAGAGATGAGCAGAAGGAAGGACAGACAGATGAGCACATAGATAAGCACATGACAGAAAACTGTGCCCTGCCTCTAGTGAAGGAGGCCCTCTGTTGTTTGGCCTCTCAGGTGGTAATAGATACCTAGTCCCACTGATGGCATGTTTACCAGCCAGGTGAGCAGTCACTACCAGGAGGAGACAAGCACTTTGAATTGAACCATACTTGACACTGAATGGACTCAGCCAGAAGTGGTTGATAAATAGTGAGCACACGGGCTTATCTGGAGATTGAAAGGACCCAGATGTGTTATTTTCTTAGTATTCGTTCCAACACTCAAGGAAATTCCAATGTTTTAACCACCTGCCTGAGGAATCCAGTTCAGTAAATTAGATTGGCTCCTTGGGACTGCAGATGGGGTCCAGCCATTGTGCGCTCTTGGCTCCCCCACCTCCTCCTCTCCTTCCCATCCATTTCCACCAACTGGAAAATAGCCCTTAAGTCCCCAAGTAATGGGGTTTAAATAACGCCTCACTGCTTTCTCGGTAACAAAGATTGAGGCTTTGTGTTTCCCTCGCAGAAGACTTGAATTTCACCTGGAATTTTAAAACACATTCAACTCTAAAAGGAGAAGGAGTGAAAAAAAACCCAGAGAAGCCACCCACACTTTCTAGTGACGGGCTTTGTTTGAAGGATTTCTTTCCATTGGGAACACCCGGCATTATTTTTAGCAGGCAACAACATTTTAATATTTTAATGACACACTTCCCATTAGGTTGAGGTTAGAGCTTCCTTGCTGAGTTTCATAATAGGGAAGGTTTCAAGGTGAGCGATTTACACAATTTATTCTTTGGAAATCGAACTGAAGGAGATGAAATACATTAGCAAAACGCCCCGCCTGCTTAGCTGTTGACCTGTAATGTTTATAGACTTTCTCATTGTAAATCCACAAACGTGTCTGAGTGTTGTTTTGGGTTTTTCATATCGTCTTCACAAGCGACATCCATGCTGTATTGCCTGACCAAAGACCTTAGCGGATAATACCTGCATATTGGAAACCAAACTAATTTTATTTGCCGTTTTGTTTCTCGCCCCCTGGTCCTGGGGTCTTGATGATATTTTGACTTCAGCATGCTCCAGAAGCATTTCAAGAACTACTGGGACAGCATGACACCGTTCTTGGTAAACTAGAGGGTCACTCCCCAAAAGAGACCCTCATCTAGGTAGATTGGCACAGCGGCTACCGCAGTGGTCTCCCACATCGATGGGACAGAACCAGACAGAACTTCACTTCATTGACACGTAAAGTCTCTGTGAGTCACGGCAACTACTGCTGCACTGAAGGGCCACCACAATTAGCATGAATCAGAGTCATAAAAGGAGTATTTCTGTGGGCTGATTTCCTGGTTGGCTGAACTCTATTTCTCTTCTCTTCCGTTTCCCTTCTAGCGCGGGAGTTGGCCGGACCGGTTGTTTCATCGTAATAGATGCCATGCTAGAAAGAATAAAGCATGAAAAAACTGTAGATATTTATGGCCATGTAACTTTAATGAGAGCCCAGAGGAATTACATGGTTCAGACAGAAGACCAATACATCTTTATCCACGATGCACTGTTGGAAGCAGTGACTTGTGGAAATACCGAAGTGCCGGCAAGAAACTTGTATGCCTACATTCAGAAGCTGACACAGATAGAAACCGGAGAGAATGTCACGGGAATGGAGCTTGAATTCAAGGTATGGCATCGGCCCCAACTGCCTTCCTGGGGAGCAAGTCCCTCTGGGTTTGCTGTGACTTCCTCTGTACTTTTTGATCCTTGTGAAAGGCAGGGCCATAGTCTCTTGAACAAGGTGTTTGCCCATCAGGCTTATCCTTCCTTGTTCCTGCTGGTCCTCTTCACTTTCTAGCCACCCTTTTGGGGTCTCGGGTACCCAAATGAAAATGGAGAGATTGCATCCTGGCACATGATGCTTAACAATTCACTAGGCACCGGGGAGTCGTTCGGAAGAAGTGACAAGCAGAATGCTGTTGGAATAGCATTCAGTTAGAAGTCAACAATGCTGCCTGTCAGAAAGGAAAACTTGAGTGCCTGGCTTTGAAACCAAAGGCTGAAATTCTCTCTGTCTGCTTTTTCTCCTCTTCCATTCAACAGCGTCTAGCCAGCTCCAAAGCTCACACCTCAAGATTCATCAGTGCCAATCTCCCATGTAATAAATTCAAAAACCGCCTTGTTAATATTATGCCATATGAATCCACAAGGGTGTGCCTGCAGCCGATCCGCGGTGTGGAAGGATCCGATTACATCAACGCCAGCTTTATCGATGGATACAGGTAGGTGCTCAGCACCCCAAAGCTGTGATGTTCACGTGTGCCCTGGTTTGATAACCCAAGTGCGTTTCATCTCAGTTCACAGCCATTTTCTTTCCACATCGGTCGGCTTTGCATCTCTTGGGCACGCGCGGCGGGGTGTGTGTGTTGACTTGGGATAAGAGTAGGAAACTGTGCTCCCAGGAATTTTGAATCCAGCCTTGGACACTACTTTCAGAAGCCATTTGGCAGTGGGAGAAAAACTCAGAAACTTGTGCTGCAGGTTCCATGAGTGGAGAAGGTTATCTCAGAGTCGTTTGTGGAACGGGAAGCCACACAGCTAAGCGTTTCTTAAGTGATTTATGTGACACGTGAAGCTCAGCTACCAGCGTCTCCCTGAAATGCCATGATGGGCTTTGCATCACAACCGTAATGAAGCAGTTTCTTCTGCAAAGCCCCCCCCACCCCCAAAATGTTGTAAATGCTATGGCTTGATCAACAATCTAAGGGGGATTGACTTGCAATTGGATGAATACTATATTGAAATATATATTGTGTCATTGGGTTGAAGTTTACGTCACAAGCATGAGCCTCTGCATGGTCTCTGAGTGTCTTTCCGTGCTCTCTGCCCTCTCTGTAACTAGACAACAGAAAGCCTACATTGCAACCCAGGGGCCTTTGGCTGAGACCACGGAGGACTTCTGGCGGATGCTGTGGGAACACAACTCCACCATTGTCGTGATGCTCACCAAGTTGCGCGAAATGGGCAGAGTAAGTGTGTGGGCCCTTTGAAGTGTGTTTGCTCGCCAGGCTTCCTTCCCTTGGAGCTGTGGAGATTGCACCGCACGAGCCAACTGCCAGCATCATCTCCTCACAGTACAGGATATTTGGGGCAGAACCCCGGCCGTTGCGCTTTGTGGATTTCTAACTTTTAAATCCACATTGTGTGTGTCGTTTAGTCATTGATTTTGTTGTTAATGGTGTTGTAATACATACGTCACAATGTGTGTGTGTATGGATTGTGATAGGAGCTGAAAGAGTGCCCAGTAAAATGATTTTTTAAAAATCTGAACCATACACCAATTCAAGTTTCTACATGTACACTTCAGGGACCTGGATTACATTCTTCAAGTTGCACACCCATTCTCACCCAACACGTTCCAAATTACTCTTCCCTGTTATTGTCTAAACTCAAGGTTCATGCATATGAACTCAAACGTATTGCATATATTCAGTGTCCCCTAATCTTATCTAACCTTTCGCGATCGTGTTGTCAGTGTGATCCCATGTACTTGGGTTCTTCAAAAGATCACAGCGGCCAAGGCAGACGTTCTTTATTTGTTGTACATTAAGCTACATTAGTCTTTGGGTGTACAGGCTTCAGGGAATATTTTGGGTTGAAGATTTAAAGATTACCTCAGGGCAGAACTTTGGGGGATTCTTTTAACTTCAATGGTTCTGAGAAAGTGTGGATTTTATGTAAGTTTCCAATTTAGTTCCACATTTCTCCCCCCTTTTGATCAGGATTTTTCTGGAGACCCTTTGATCAAGACTTTCAGTAATAGTAGTGAGACACCATCCATACTGGGCTCTTGACAACAGAGGTGGTCGTCTGTGGAGGTGATTACACATTCATTCCATGCTCAACGCACCATTTAGAATATTTTAAAGACCAACTACTTTGTTTTCATTGAAGCACAATCTTTGAGACAAAGAAATAGGCAGGCGCCCGCATTTGACACACGTTCTAACCTTCAGTGTGTCCTTCCTCCTTTTACTGTGGTCCATATGATGAACAAAGGCCTCCTCCTTCTCTGTGTAAAGGAACTTCCTTTCATTCCCAGGGCAAATTCTTCCTCACCCACCTTGCTCACCCATTTGGATGAAGGGGTTGAAAATTGCCTAATGTTTCTAAAGACATAATCTGACTGTATTCAGATTCATTTTTTAAAAAACAATTATTCTGAAAATAGACAGGAAATAGGATAGCTTCACCTAAAGGCGTCTCTTTGGATTAAATCGTGGTAGCATGTTTCCACCTGTGCCTGAAGTGTTTGAGCTCTCTGTTCTTCACATAAATGAAGTTCTAAAGATGGAATCAAATCAAAACCTGGCTTTCAGACCCCACAGAGAGAGCAAGAGGAATCCCAGACTAAGACACTAGCTAGCTCTTCTGATTGGGTTGTTGACTTCCTGTGGGGTTTAGGCAACTCCCAGAAACTGCCTGGGGGCCAGTCTGAGCCATTGAATGAGGCTGGACCAGATCAGAGAAGATGTTTCTCTGTATGTTCACCCTTGATGATTCTCTTTGCTCCATACCACAGTGGCCTAAGTTTAGTGTGACAGTCACTGCCTGACTGATAGGACCAGCCATGTGTATAAAGATTGATGTAATTGGATCACTTACAGGTGTACGGCCACATACCCTCTAAAAGAATTCATTTAAACTGATCTGTATGAAGTACCTACGGTGTACCAGCTGAAGTCCCTGGGCGGTGTCAATGGTAAAACCCTGATTTACTAACCACTAGATGGAAGGTCCAAGACCACAACCACAGATTAGCCAGGCTGGCACCCTGTTCCCCCAAACCAGCTGGTGGAAACCCTATGGGGCACAATCCTCTTCCACATACGAGGTCACCATCGATCAGAAGTGGCGTTAAGGCAGTGAGTTGGCATGAATGGTAACCACTGCACTCCTCCATACCACGGGCAACTATTGCAGTAGATGGTTTCCCTGTTCTCGGGGAGCTGGCCGTCTGGGAGAGAAATGAGTCACAGTTAATTGAAATTGGCTTGATTTTTTAAATGTTCTTATTGCGAAGAGGAAAATGGATGGCTGTTGATATTCCACGGGGTGTAGGCAAGTCACTGGAACTGCCTGGGCTCTGTTCTCCTCAGCCAAAAGAATCAGTCAACTGAAGGATGATTCATCGAGCTCACTGACACTTTGTCCAGTTTCACATGCATCTTTTCTCCTTTTAGGAAAAATGCCACCAGTACTGGCCAGCCGAACGATCCGCCAGATACCAGTACTTTGTTGTAGACCCAATGGCTGAGTACAACATGCCCCAGTATATCCTAAGGGAATTCAAGGTCACGGATGCCAGGGTAAGTTGGTGCTGTCTTAAGCATTCTGAGGCATTTGCTGAAAGGTAGCCCACAATGCACCCCTGGGAGAAACATTAGCCAAATGACCATACTCCCATAGAGAAATGAAGCCAGCCATCCTAAGGGACGCTTCTTTGTCTTCTTATTTCAATAGGAGAGTAACTTTCCCTCTGTCTGGCAAACAGGTCCTCCCAAGCCCAGGGCTGGCTTCCATTCACGCTTAACATCTGGCAGCCTCACTCTGGGGATGCTCTTGGGGAGCGTTTGTGCTGGGAAGCATTGCCTGATTGGTTGGCTTTGCCCGTGGCTCACCTTCTCGGCTCATCCTCTTGGAGCGTTTGTGAGGTTGTCATTCCCTGGGGCTGCAAATATGTTGTTGTTGTGCAGAGCCCTTCAGGTCATGGGGGCTGGAAGGTTAATTCAGTATGATTTTTAAAAGTGCCGAGCAAATGGCATTCTTTAGAAGCATCTGACAAGCCGTGCACATTCTAATTTGATTCCTGGCCTGGTTTATTCCTCAGTGCGCTAATGGGTCTGTCCACGAGAGCTGTGCACCCACGACCCTTGTTGGCTAATTTTCATTCTGCATTTCTTATCTCCATCGCTGAGTCCAAGGTTCAGCCCTGATGTAAGAGGCTCAATGCATAAACTTTAATATTCTTGCCTTTGGCTACTCCCACGCCGCGATTATAAACACCTCTTAGAGGAGCGCCGGGTCAGTCCAAAGCCGCCTTTGTTTTTGTATGTGTCACAATGGGTGGGTTGAGAAAAACTAGAGGGTAGAGCTCTTGACTAGATCCTTGGTTTTTCCAGGAAAGCAGGTGTATTAGTCTAGGTACTTTGGAGAAACAAATCCACAGTGACTCATGTATAAGAGAGTTTTATGTAAAGAAAAGGTGCATCATGAAAACATCCCAACCCAATGCTGCCCAAGCCCACAAGTCCAATATTAACCCATTAACCCAACACCAGTCCACAAAGTCCTCCACCTCACAAAACAGAGGCAATGATGCTGACTGCAGGAGGAAAGCTGAGTCAGTGAACGAACAAGCATCTCAGCACTAGCAGGGGTCTCCACATGGCTGCTCCAGCACCCAGGGCTGCATCGGGATAGGTCCATGTGGCTTCTCCTTGGGGATGTCTTGTAGGAAGTCAATCTTGCAAGCTGAAGCAGGGAACTGCTAAGGCAGCTGCATCCTGGTGCAACCATCACAAAACAAGAGACCCGAGAACTAGAAAGGCGAGGCTTCACCACCCATTTATCCCCCCGCCTTTCAACCAGACCCACATGTGTTTATCGGCCAGGCTGGTACAATTAACTAACTCAGCAGGTTTCCTCAAGCAAAACCCATGCTTGGAGCCTGATTTCCCATCCCCAAAGTCTGGCCCAGGCCAGTGACCTAATGTGAAAGAGAAGTTGGTTACCTTTCTGCCTGGTCCAGGGGACAGGCTACCGATCTGTTCATGCCTGAGCATCTGAAGTCTTCACTGCTCTGAAGGTGACTGTCCTCCAGGCTCTGGTTCTGTCACGAGGTCTCACTTAGGAGTTGCTAAAGCCAGCATGCCTTGGTGCCCCACCTCAATCATTGTTTAAAAAGAAAGAAAATGACAGTAATCATGGCCTTTCCAAATTTGGGGCTGAGTCTGGTGAGGGAAAATCCCACCTGCCAGTAAGGGAAACTCACAAACCATTGCGAAAGACTGGCAGCCTGCCTCTGTGGATGTCAGGGACACCTGTTTTACAACTCCCCACTTAGCCAAAAGTGTCGTCTCTGAGCGGAACAGTTAAGCTGAAAAGTTGATGGTTCAAACCTCCCTCAGAGCAGCTCAGAAGACAGAATTAGCCATCTGCACGGGAAAGTCGCAGCCCTGGAAACCCTGTGGAGACCCTCCCCTCCACACATGCACCTTCTTCATGAACCAGACTCAGCTCCACCCCAACCGACAGCAACAACGTGTCCACGCAAAGTCTCATCATAATAAGCCAAAGAAAGGTGGAAATAGGGCCTGGCACCCACGCTTTTTTTTTTTAATGTTATCATTTTCATAGCTGGCATGGCCCTTGCTCTTGGTGTCCTGGTGTGTTTCTAATATCAGCATGGTTTCCAAAGCAAACTGGTGCTCACAAATACCAGAATACAGCTGTATTTCACCATGTGACCTTCCCATGGCATCCGGTGGCCTCTCACCCAAATAGTGAGTGTTGGCACACATCCCCCCCTGCTGCTTGCTGTTACAAGCCACAGTGGTCAGACATGAAATCCACAGGACGCTGAGAAGACAGCAAATAGACACTGCCCAGCTTCTGGCCTCCCTTCCTATGCTTCCCAACCCCTTATTCCAAAAACGGGGAAGTAAAGCATGCTCCATGGTAGCCAGCCCTATGTTACTGATGGGGCCAGCCAGTTCTTTCTGCACTTCTCTGTGTTCCCACTGAGTCTCTGTAGTCTTCCTGTTTCACTCCCCTCCACCGGAAGGCCAGTCAGGGCTGGTCCTTGTTCCCCTGGAAACTGCTCAGCTAGTTGATGGGTGACAACCTTTCTCTAATCCACTCCCTCTGGTCAACACATCTGAGGGATGACTGAATTCTACAGACATCCAGAATCCTGGAGCATGCACCCCTGAACCAAAAGAGCTTCAGGAGGGGAAGGGCCATGCAAAGAGGTGAAGGATGCTGAGACAGAAGCCTGTTGGGCAAGCAGAGCTAACAATGGGACCCTGTCCCCCCTCAGCATGTCATTTAGAAACCTCTCTCTTTGATGCGTCAGCATTGCATTGTTTAACCGGTTTGCACTTGGGCCCTAATGAAAAACAACAGTTATAATGCGTCAAATTTTCCTACAATATTCTTTCTTCAATGTCCAAATTTTTTGTCTTTTGAGCCAATTAAAAATGCTTTGAGCCAATTGAAAATGGTATGGCTGGTAAGGAGTACCTTAGATGTGAAAGTAGCATGCTTGCACTTCAAAGACATTTTGTGCGTTCTTTGATCTCTGGGCTGCTACAGAATTCTATGAGCATTGATTGTGGATCCAAACAGGATGAAATCATTAAGTTCAATATTTTCACTGTTTATTGTAATGTTACTTATTGGTCCAGTTGTGAGAATTTGGGGTTTTTTTTACATTGGTGCATTTGAACTATGGTGTTGACAAAGAATATCAAAAGTCCCATGGACTGCCAAAAGAACAAACATCTGTCTTGGAAGAAGTACAGCCAGATGCTCCTTAAAGACAAGGATGATGAGATTTCTTCTCTTATACTTTGTGCACATTATCAGGAGAGACCAGCCATGGTTGGGAAAGTGGGCAGGCCGTGAAAATAGAGAAGGGCATCATGCTTGGGAAAGTGGACAGGCCGTGTCAAAGAGGAAGACCCTTGATGAGTCGGATCGAGACAGTAGCTGCAACAGTGGCTCAAACATAAGAACCATTGTAAGGATCGGCAGTGTTTGGCTCTGTTGTCATAGTGTTGCTGTGACTCAGAAACGACTGGACAGCATTTAGCAATGACTAATGAAAAGGTTGGCAGTTCAAGCTCACCCATTGACACTGCAGAGAACGGGCCTGGCCACCCACATCTGGAAAGATTAGAGCCACCTAAATTCCTTCTGGAACCAGTACCAGATAGGATCACCATGTGCTGGAATCATCTGGATGGCCATGGGGGGAGTGGTGGTGGTGGTGGTGGTGTGTATGTGGTTTCTGATGAAGCTGGAGAAAATCAGTAGGTACAATTGTGGTTTTTGTATCTGTAACCAAGGGGTGCCTTTTGTTCGCTTTAGGGGAAAAAATGCTATAAAAGCTAAGAATAAGCAACAGCCTCACTAACATCCTTTCAAATTCTTAATACACACATTCTTCTGCAGTCAAAGCCGTTTTACCTGATCATTTTCAGAGAGCCCTCTGGTACCTGGTTACTTGCTTTCTCTCTTTTGATTTGTCTGCATGATGAGCCTCACGGCATTCCTAATTCCTGGGGTCAGCCAGGAAAGGGCCTCTTTCAGAACAGGGCATTGATTCCCTAATGATCTCCTTGGTGACCTTGAAGGGTGCTTCACTTCCTGCTTTATAGCATAGTCACACGGCACCCACTGTGGCCCATACCTCGGCTAGAAATCTTGTGCTTTTGAGATATGCAGGGCATCCAGGTTAACAGCAACTACCTGATTTGTGTCAGATCCTTTAAACATCACCATTTGTCACTTAACAGAACTGGCAATCCACGAGCACAGCAGATACGAAGTTCTCATAACAAAAGCAAATTCTCCAGGCCACATGACCTGGCAGGATCTTCCTGTCTGTGTTCTGAAGTCATTTGATCCTGAAATTTGGGAGATAAGATGCACATGTTCCTCTTTGGTGGAAATGTGAGCATAGTCAATGGTTTGAAACCCAAGCTTTGGGTCATGAGAGCATGCTCTACGATGGGAACCCAGTGGCTAGCGATTACATGGGAATCAAAAGATACTGCTTTGCTCTGAGAGAGAGAGAGAGAGAGTGTGTGTGTGTGCTAATGAATCCAATTGCCTTCCAGGTGACCCTGACTTCATGGGATACCCATGTGTGTCAGAACAGAGCTGTGCTCCACTGGGTTTTCAGGGGCACATTTTTTAGAAGTACGCTACCAGGGCTATTCTTTTGAGGGCTCTCTGGGTAGATGAAAAATGTCTCCTTCTGTTACAGTGAGCATGTTAACTCTTTGTGCCACCTAGGGAATAGTCGAATGTAGAGCTTATTAATAGCAGATATAAACCTAACAGTGTGATGATGATAAGTTTCAAGTTCCAACAACATGTATCTAACTCTTTTATGGCTTCTTAAAAAACATCTGTTTGGAATCACATCGTGACCTCAACTGTGTTCTCCATGACGGCGGAATCCTCCTGGCTGGGTATGTGCCGTATGTGCCCTTCCCCTGAAAGGACGGACAGTCCCGGACAGTCCGGCAGTTCCAGTTCACTGACTGGCCAGAGCAAGGAGTGCCCAAGTCCGGAGAAGGCTTCATCGACTTCATCGGCCAGGTCCACAAAACAAAGGAGCAGTTTGGCCAAGATGGGCCCATCTCCGTCCATTGCAGGTATGCCAAGAACCAGGACTGGGGAGAGTTTCCATTGGGGGCCAATGTCATGATAACTCTGAAAGCACCCATCCTATCTAGTCATCGATACAATCAACAGAACACTTGCTTCCTGTAGCAATTCCATAAATGGAATTCTATCTTCAGAAATATTTAAAGCAGGTTCATTTCTATTCCGAAAATGAAAATAAGCAGAGGAAGATGTTTATTCCTAGCATTACTGTCTGTCAGTTTGGTTTTCCATGCCAGTTTTCTCTTATCACGAGGTGTTAGTACATCCTTGGTGATCGTTTCTTCTGTTAATCGCCTCTCACCTGCTTTGCTTCCACAGCACGGCACCGATAACTATCTTTCTGTTTTTTCCCCCCTGCATTTGTCTTCTTGGGAAAACCATAAATAGCTATCAAGCCTTAATGGCAATACTATTCTTGCCAGTCAATAAGTGATTACAATGGTTACCTCAGTTAAAACTGCAATTTGCCTGAAAATTGTTGCTAGATCAGAAAACGAAGCACCTTGAAGTTAATTATTTCCAATAGTTTCCAAAGCATTTTATAATTCAAGTCATTGAAGTTAATAGAAATAGCAAGTAAACGGTTCAGAAAGGACATTCACCATAAATTCAGTGGTGGGGGAGTTTTTAGACAAAAACTGTCCAGTAAAAAGAATTCATCTCCATTTACCATATATACTCATGTATAAGCCAAGTTTTTCAGCGCAGTTTTTGTGGTAAAATTAGGTGCCTCGGCTGATATTTGGGTTGGCTTATACTCGAGTATATACTGTACTTAATATATTTTAGGATTCTAGCAACTTAGGGGGTTTGTTTTTAATCTTGTGATCCCAAATCTTGAGAGAGCTTATTAAACACTTTATTTTGCTTCAAAAAACCACTGTAGTTCTAAATGACATATGAAACAGGAAAAGTCTTTGCGTTGGATTGTAAACTATCTTAGGCCTTGTCTCATTTTTTCCATATGGAACTACGTCACTGGGGAAATCTCTATGGTCATCAGTTTTTCTCAGACCATTAAGATTCTTCCTAGCACCTGCCCTTTCCCAGCCACAGTATATCAGGAAGTAAACAGACCTTACTCAGACGCATTTGTTTTGTTCTAAGTTGACCGCAGTCCTTTGCTCTATAGAATCAAAGAGCATGTGGGGAATGACGTAATAGAAGCCGCTACTTTGACGTAAGGGACTCGTGTTATGTCGAGAGTTCCTGAATTTCCCACAGAACTCACTCAAAGGCTATATACCACATGCTCGGTATAAGGAAAGGAGTTTTTCTAATTGAATCCAAATTCTTCATGCGAAGCATCAAATAAATATGAATGTTTTCCTGTGTATGAGACTCTTCAATGTCTTTTTCATCACAGATGATTTCAATACTTCTTAATGTAATTATTATGCTGTGTTGCCTGTGCATTATATATGTATCTTAAAGTTTTAAAGTATCTTCTCCTATCCAGAAGAATCTATGTTTAAAATGTTTACCTTATTAAATTATTTTGATGACGTCCATGCATTCAGAAGTTCTAAAAGGCAAGTGCCTGTTCTTTCATGGAAAGTACTTAGTAAGGAGCCAGAAAATGCTATACTTCTTGGACTTTTGATCAGTCAAATCCAAATAAGATAGACTCTGAAGTCCCTAGACCATGCTATAAAAAAGATCATAAATCACAACCTTTCTGGATTAAGTGAGGCTTTCAAGGTTGAAAGAGACCTTCAAGGTCATCTCCTCCATCTTCACAGAGAGCCTTCTTGGCTGCTGGATCATTTTTAGAAACGGCCAATGGATTTGAAAGCTTCACATACCACTTCAGGTTTGACTCTATAGAAATCTCATTTTATAAGGGGATGCCACACTATTTCTATATGCCTGTCAGCTACATTCCCAAGTAGATGAATCCATCCATTTTCTACAGCCCGTGCCCAAGTGTTAAACGTGCCATTTAATTAGGTCCAAAAGTGTAGGGATCGTTCACATGATCCACTGTTTTCGTCATTACCTAAACCTCCAGATGCTTTTCGACTTCTTAAAAGCACAAGAACTATGAATTAATTTCCTGCTCTTTCTGCTGTGAAGGTTCTGGAATTATCTTAAGACAATAAAGGAAACAACGAGAGAAATTCTTACTAATGTGGTGGAAAGAATCCTGCTGTCTTACCTCCCGAGCATCCAAAAATAGTAGATAAGCTCAGTGATTCTTAACTGCCTTTTTCTTTTTAATGTTAGGGACCCCTTTGAGAATCTGTTGGAATCTCCATTGTCTTGGGAAAAAATACTTTTGCAAAATCCAAACCTATACTTTTAGGAACATGATGTGCCAGAGAAGCCGGTAGGCATGTGCCCACCTCCACGTGAAGGTGGCCAGCACTGCGGGCATCTCATCCAATCACATTGTCTCTGATATTTTGACAGTGCGGGTGTTGGAAGAACTGGCGTGTTCATCACATTAAGCATTGTTTTGGAAAGAATGAGATACGAAGGTGTTGTAGATATCTTCCAGACCGTCAAAATGTTAAGGACACAACGACCAGCCATGGTGCAGACAGAGGTGAGAAAACTCCCCCTGAGTCTGTGTGTGGCACATCTCGAGAGCCAAAGACGGTGTTCCTGGTCAGCACCTGCTAGACAACCAGGGCTTCTCAAGACCGAAAGCCAAAATACTATGCGAGAAACTGCAAGTTGCTTCACCCTTTGGAAGCTTGATTTCCCTCCTGTCAAGAGCACAGCTGTATCAGTGTCTCAGGATTGTTGGAGAAATTACCTGAGATGAGAGACTAGGTGAAGCCATGCTCAGTGTTTCACATTGGATCATTTTGACCTGGACAAGTGGTCCTTTCCTACAGTTAGCCTGCGTGTATAAAGCACTATGTGCCTACCATGCCATTGAGCCTCGGCGCACTTTAATTCCTTATTCCCTTTTTGCATGCCTCGGTGTTAGCTTTCAACTGTTCTGTTTTATTTAACATGATATCAGCCATTTTACATATCTGGATCCTGGATGAGCTCTAGATAATTTTGTCACCCCTTTTAATTCTCCAATGATGGATGTGAAATTCCCATATTTCTTAGCAAACAGTTCATGATTTATATAGCCCATCTGACCCCCTGGCCATCCCTTTCAAAGGCTGTCATGAGTGAAAGGAGGCAGTATTTATGTTCCTCCAAAGGTTGACCGAGGGCAACACGCAGGTGTGTACCTAATTCATGGCCCACTATGTGTTTGAGAATCCGAGTCCAACATAACGTAGGCATTTGCCTGGCAATGCCCAAAACATTATGTCAGCTGACAAACCAAATGGGGATAGGAGGTGGCAGAGGGAAATTGGACATTTAAAAAGCCTTAACACTTAAGCCAAGCAATGTACTGTGACAAGATAAGAAAGTAAACCCTATTTATTTTGTATTACCATTTTTACCATTTTAAAATGCACATTTAAGCAAAATAGAAACTATCGACTTTCAGCCCCACTGGCTACTGAAAATAAGTTTCTTTTATGGGGAAATCCTGCTTTTCCTCATCCCTGCAGTCCTCTGTAAATTGTGATTTTTTTTTTCCCATCTCTCCAACCCTGCGCTGGCTACTTATGGTAGTGACAGAATCCTTCCCTGTCTTTAAAAAAAAAAAGACTCATGCCGTTGTCATTTCCGTGTGGGCTTTCCTCGAACTGACAGCTAGCGATCCCCCTCTCTGTCAGGCCCCCCAAGTGGCCAGAGCATTCTTGATGTGGGCAGGTGATCATATTTTAATATCACTTTTCAGGGGTCGAAACGTATGCAGATCTAGTACCTGCTGGTCGCCTCATCTTTTGCCTTCTCGTGTCTCCCGCAGGACCAGTATCAGTTCTGCTACCGGGCCGCACTAGAGTACCTGGGCAGCTTTGATCACTATGCAACGTAGAAACCCCCGTCCCGTTCCGGATGTGAACTGCAGGCCCTTCACTATCCACGGAGTCTCTTCTGAGCCATAATGGGGCACTTGAGAAGTCCTTCTTCACTTCTAGCTAACGAACCACGTAGTGGGACAATTATACACAAAACCAACAAAACAATGCCAGGTGGACCAAGAATCCCCAGTTTCATAATCTAACCTGAAAACAATAAATCTAACCTGACAACTATAAAGAGAATCCTGACTGCTGAGGCATCTGAGGGGGTTGATGGACAGATACCTCAAGGATTCAAAGATCACAGGAAGAAGAAATCGCAGCAAAGAACCGCCATCTTGTTCCGGGTTGCTGGAAGGTCCCAGAATGCAGCAGTTCGGGGCAAGAGGTTTGCTGGAATGGCTTGTCGCAAGAAAGCGGACCCTGCTTCAACATCACCCCTTCCCACCATACTGCGCATAACAACATTTGGGGGGTGGGGGGACCGGCAAGGGGGGGTGTTTAAAAAGAAGTCCTTGATTTAGATTTTTAGTATTGTAAAAATACTGCTGACCTGTGCTTCATTTGTAACTGTGTAAACTTTTTTTTTAAACAAAATGTATCATTCGATAAAGTGAATTGAAACAAGAAGTTACATAACTCTTCTTTTATTTTTAATTTCCAAATCGTAGGTTTTTTTTTATTTTTAAGCTGTAGAACTGTTTCCTGTAATCTCTCACTGTAGAAATATCCAATAATTTGACCACTTGCACATGTTTTGTGTGCAAGTATTCTGAATCTACAGTGTCTGTCTTGTCTGCTATTTGCTTTTTTTCTTTCCAGTTCCGTTTGGTTTTGATTAGGAAGAAAGCACCCAATCTCGTCAACGATTCAAAGAGCATCGTCTTTTCCTTTGGTTTGGTTTTGGAATCAACAGGGAGGCGCAAAGTATAAAGTTGCTGCTAACATATATACATAGATATCCATCTTTGATCAGGATGTGTATGTATATATAGACCGTGTGATGTATGTATCCATGCAGAGATAGAGATAACGCTCATTTCGTTTTGTCCATGATTTTAATTTTTTTTAAGATAGAAAAGCGATTGTCCACATCTCTTTCAATCGATCGTTAATTTGATGGCATATTGGTATTTCTTAATATCACCCAACTTTGCTTTTAAAAAACAAAAAAAAGGGAAATGAATGCACATCAGTGATTATCAAACCTTACCCCCCTAATTTTCTACCCAGTCCCCACCTGCCCCGTCAAATTCACAAATCTTATTTTGTTAATCAGGCTCCCAACCAAGTTTAATATTATAACACTCTAGCGCAATAACCAATTATCCAGTATCCAGAGGTGTGCATGTGGGAGAGAGCAGTGCATATCCCTGCAGGAGGGAGGATGTTGTAATATATCAGCTATCAAGTTGTTGTTGTTTTGTTTTGTTGTTTTGTTTTTAGAGTGTACTCAAACCGTGTATTGTCTGTAGTATGTGCTATGAAACTCACATTTATGATATGTAACAGGGGCAAAGCCAAATCGTGTTACTCTGTTCAGCCAGAAGCGTTCGGTTGTGGCAGGCAGCATTCCTGGGAGATGCTGTATCACTTTGCTTTTGTTTGGGTTTTCCTTTTGCATTTAGAGTGCCTTATAATTGATGCCTAATTTTAAGAGCATTTTTTTTCAAACTCTCAGCTTATTGTTTTCATTAGTTCCTATCTGTTACGCTTCCCAATTAAAGCATTATTCTGTTTACCGCATGGACAAAAACTCTTTGAACAATATGCTACTTCTCAACCAGGTCGGGGATGTTAGTGATTGTCCCAGCCCAAAGCACTTGGATGTCGTGGCCGTTCTTTCTTTCATCGCGGTCAACATCTGGAAAAGCCACTTGTTGGAGTTGCTAGCCTATCCAGATTGGCTACGAGGTGCAGAGTCACTGCACCGAGCTTTTGTTAATAGCAGATATCGTTGTCAACGTTGGCACATTTTTTATATTCCATGAGGATTTTCCTAAAAGGGGAAGTAAACAAATCCAGTATCTATAAATATCTCTCTTATCTTATTCCCCGAAGTTTTCCAACATAATTTCTCTAGGAAGCCATGGGTGATGGCATGAGTTTTCCATTTCTTATCCGAGTTAGAGGTTAAACAACCCTTCCAATATCCAAGGGACTCTGAAAGGATTTGGGTCTAGGTAGACTACTTTGGTTTCATTTTAATTACATTAATATTCTGCATGGAAGGCGGTTTGTTTTCCCCATTGTCCCCAATGCTAGCAGAATGAAATCCAAGAGACCAAACACTTGCAAGCATTGTATTTGAGCACTTTTGTAAAAAAAAAGAAAAAAAGAAAAAAAAAGAATATATATAATACTTTAAAATAAAATTATCTAGAAGGCTACCTCAGAATGAGACTCTCTAACCTACATCAGAACCAGAGGAGAATGTGCATTATGTGGGTCTGTTGTTTCCTTTCAGTTTGTAAATTTTGGAGATTTATCCAAGTGCCAGAGTACCCAGCGCTGTCCTTTTCTGTTAGCCAAACCAAGGGGGGAGGGGGGGGTCCCCCCCTCATGCAGACCCACCATGTGGACACAAGAGCCTGATGGAGTGTTGCACGCCAGAACGGTTGGCCCGTGAGCCATCTCTCTCCCTCTGAAACAAAACAATACGAAAACACAAACAAAACCTGCCCGTGCGGCCCAGGGAGCGGGGAGAATGTTCACCAGGAGAACACGTGTGGAATGCAAACCCTAGACAGACAAGAAGGAGACGATTCCAGAAATCCTAGTGTTCGGGAGCTGTTCCCAGAACTCACCCCCTTAGTGTCATTGATGTGCATTCCACTTTCTCGTGCTTTTCTGTCCCACCCTTCTCGGTTTGATTTCCCAGGTAACCATCTTTTCTCTCCCATGACCCCAAATGTCTCACGTTTCTGATTGTTTTCATCATTCTAACCAGTACGGTGCTATTATTTACCTATGTACGTGTAGTTATGTATAATTTTGTAATTAGTTACAATGGTAAGAAAAATTCAAAATATATAAAAAGTGATTTGTACAGAACTTTATTTTAGCTCTTTTTTAACAATGATTTGCATGGTTAGACAATGGCAAGGACAGCCAGGGGAGGGAAGGGCCTCTAGGGAATTTTGCACTTTCTAAACCTTTGTACTATGCACTGCCCCATTGATTCTACACCCAATACTGTTAGTACTTGAACCCATCTGTAAGAAACTCCTGCAGACAGTCATTTGTGTGTCTGTAAATAACACAGCATCGAAACAGGGAGGGGAAAATTCTGCAGTCGTGTACAGATTTTTTTTCCTTTCCTGTTGATTTGATTTGGTTTGGTTTGGCTTTAGGTTGGCATTCCCCACTCCCCATTTTCTTTTGAAGTCCCCCCTTTTCTGTTTCCAGTTTTGAGTTTCTTTGGGTTTATGGGTGCCCTGATACTCCAGCAGAGGTCAGACGGCTACAGATCCATCCTATCCATCGTCACGTGGCTTTGCCATCGAGCTTGGAGCGTCTTTACAAAGATAAGAACAGTTGTGTTCTTTGCTCTTGTTTTGGATGCATAGACTGAAAAAAAAATTAAAAAATAACTTGTAAAATGGCTTGTTAAAAAAATACAATTACCTCTAATCAGTAGTACGCGTACATGTTTTACAGAATGAAAGGCGTGCTTTTTATTTTCCTACTTCGTTACATTGGTGGCGAAAGAAGTCTGTATGAAAATCAGTTCTTTGCTGACACAAGTTCCATTTGTTACAAATGAATTCTAATAAAAATGTCAGTGTTATGCAGCCCTGGCCTTGGCTTTTGTCTCATCCAAGACTTTAGAGTGGGACAGACGGGCATGGTCCCTCTTATCCGGTGGTCTTGTCCGTCCCCTTTGCTCTGAGTAATTCCGTGTACTGGGAGTCAGCTGCTCACCCATGGCTGCAGGAAGGAAGCTCTACTCCTGTTTCCGATTAGCAAACTGAGACTCAGAGAAAAAATTTGCCAAGTGTACACAATGAGAGATTGGCTTCATGCAGATTATGGGGCACGGATTTCCTTTAATTCCATAGAATGTGACTATGAGGTCTAATTAAGTAAATAATAAGATAGGTAAATATTATTATGAAATATTAATGAGCAAAACCTGTCTGCTAGAGCAAAAGCCATACTTTAGAGAGCGAGTGTAAGTCTTAAAATTGAAAGGAAAAGACTGAAGAAAAGGAATGAATGAAATCTAGTTACATTACATTCACCTCAAGAAATTGGAAAGAAAGTAACAGGTAATTCAGCCTCAAGAAAATAGAAGTAAGACAAATACGAGTAAAATAACAAAAGTACGTACAAGATAAGAGATTTCAACAAAAGTTGGTTCTTTGAAAAGCTCCAAGGAAATGACCTGAACAAAAGTCCACAACAGCAAACATTTGAAAGGGAGCCAATTCCCTCAGGTCTTTTGTTAACGAATATAACAAAAGTTTCATATCTGAAAGGCAACCTAATTAAAAATGAAGTATGAGGATTGGTAACTAGGATTGAATAGGTGAAAAATGACATATTTCTCGAACCTGAAAAACTACTCAATTCTAGTGGCAATCAGGGAAATGGCTGTGAAAGCTACAGTGGAATAACAATGTGTAACGGCCGGCAGAGCGAACATTCAGAAGTCTACCAATACAAAGCGCTGGTGAAGAAGACAGTACTTGTTGGAAGGGAGTACTTCAAAGCGCTTTGAAAGGCGGTGGAAGATGCTGTTGTCAAGTGGGACACGCACCCAGTCATGGAGTTGTTGGCAGTGGGTGCTGTCAAATTGGTTGTGACTCCTGGCCAGCTTGTGAATCACAGAAAAACAATGTTGCCTGATCCCGTGTCATCTTCAGGATCATTCTTACTCCCGAGTTCATTGTGCAGCTACTGTGTACTTGGGCTATCTTCCTATCGAGTGGATGTACCCTCCGGTCCTGTGTTGAACAATAGAGGGTTTGTGCGTGCTTCAGAATGTTCGTGAAAAAATGCCATTATCTTTTAATCCCACTGCTCCCTACTAACTTCCCTACTAACTAACTTCATGGGCATCCACCCCGCACCCTCTGGTATTCTGTTATGATCCATAGTACTTTTACTGATCAAGTTTTGGAAGTAGGTCACCTACTTTCTTCTTAGTCTGTCATGCGTCTGGAAACGTCACTGAAATGTGCCCACTGTGAGTGACCTGCTAGTTTTTTAAACAGTTCTACTTTTAAAACTCTTCCATACAGCTTTCTTGGTGTCATTTTTACAGAGGTAATCACCACACTCTTCTCTGCCAAAGCCCTGAAGTGGACTTCAACCACCAACTTTAGCAGTGATCACAAACCACTTGAGCTCCCCAGACTCCTGACATGTGTGGGGGCCAGTAATGCTAACTGTAGTTATATAACAAATGGAAATGCACAGACGAGCAAGCAAGACTCCAACCAGACTGCCCAAGGCAACCAAAGTCAGCCAAACACTCTCGCAGTGGTTCTCAACCTGTGGGTTGCAACCCTTTGAAGGGTTCCAATGACCCTTGCACAGGGTGGCCCGACTCATAACAGTAGCAAAATGACAGTGGTGAAGTAGCAACGAAAATAATTTTATGGTTGGGGGGGTCACCACCACATGAGGAACTGTATAAAGGGTCGCGGCATCAGGAAGGTTGAGAAACACTATTCTAACACAAATACCCTTCAATGGTAGGGGGATAAATACAGCATCATCATGCACTGAAATATTACACAGCAATGAATGAGTTGCAAATATAACATTGCACAAGATGACATACACAAAAATCCAAAAGGTTTCCCTTAATGAAGAGAACGAAGTAAAGGATGATTAGGAGAGCCGAAAGCACGCACATTCCTCAAGGTCTGGCAGGTCATGTGCAACTCTTCCACCCAGATAGGGTTCCGGAGGTGCTTGGTTTGTGACAAGTCACCTGAGTATTTGTGTCTATTTTTTATATGTCAAGAAAGTATTCCTAACGACTCCATTGTGTACAGAGACCATGGAGCCCCCTGCCAGGCAGAGCAGAACTGTGCTCCATGGGGTTCGAACCTCTATGCAGGGCCTCCTATATGTACACATCCATATGTGTAATATAAACCGGTCTCCAAAATGCAAACGACTGAAACGGGGATGAATGTGGCAGTGATCCTATCATGGAGTGGGTTACTGTGGAAGAAGAAGGTTGTTGCTGGGTGCCACCGCGTCCGTTTTAACTCACGATGAAGCTATGTAACGCGCTAGGACTGCTTCCCAGGGTCTCCTAGACTGTCATCTCCATGGGAGTGGGTCTCCAGGAATTTTCTCACATGAAGTGGCTAGTGGGTTCAAACTGTCAACCTTTTGCTTAACAGGGGAGCACTTAACCATGGCGCCTCTGTGGTTCTTTGAGGAAGATACAGACACGTTACCCTTTGGGGCCATGGGCAAGGACATAGTCGTGGCTTAGAGGGAAAATGACTGATGCAAAAAATATAGACCTTCACCTGAGACTAATGATGTACCTGCTTAGAGCAGTGTTTGTCAATGTACAGGACTGAGTCCCCTGACCCTGGAAATGCTATGCAACCCTGTAGACAATTTGTGTGTGCTAGGCTCTGCGTCAGTGAAATTTGATGCCAGACTATATATCTCTATCTATATATACCTCTACTTCTGCATCTCTCTCTCTCCAAAAAAATCCAAGCGCCCTTCCATCAGATTAAGGCTGACTCATAGCAACCCCCCAGGTGGTTTCCAGGACTGTAACTGTTTATGGGAGTAGAAAGCCCAGTCTTTCTCCCAAGGAGCTGCTGGTGGTTTAGAAGGGCTCCCATCGCTACATCTAGATATAGTTCACTCTCCTGTGATTGGGGTGATGGTCTCTAGAGCTGTTTGGATTCTCATGCAATAAATCCCACAGAAGTGTTGAAGGTTTCATTGGATACCGTCTTCCCACGGTGTGAGCATTCTTACTCTATCTGTTGTGGTGTTCTGTTTTCATTCATCTAATGCCTGTGCAAAATATTTTTTATGTGGCCACCAACATTACTTGGATCTCTTTAGTTCTTTTCTCCTACAGAGAACTGAGTGTTAAACAGGTATCTGGGACCTAGGACATAAGGATTCCTTCTAAGTTCAACCACCGAAGTTAATAACATCTGGAGTTTGACTTGTTTGTAGGCTAAAGGGATTTAGGTGTGTTTTATGGTATTCGATTGTGTGGCTAACCTATCCAGTAAACTGAAAGTTTTGGGTCATTGGTTACCCAGGGAGACCAAATGGGAGGGTCTGATGGATCAGTCCTAGGTTTATGTCATTTCTGGCAACTTGATAGGAAGTGCACAGCCAACTGACAGTGGCCACATCACATGGCTGGGGGAAACCCCCAACACCTTGCAGTCAAACAGATTTGGATACAAATCCTACTTCCATCCTTCATTCGCTGGATGGGGCCTAATTACCTTCCTTAGTCTTCTCAGTCCAGATTTTCTCTTCTGTCGAATCAGAAAGAGAGCTCTTCTTCTCTTCATGGTGGTGACTATCTTTTCATTTGTCTCATTTCCTGGACTAGACAAAAGGTTTTTGTTGGGCAGCCAACCTTATTGAGGTCTCTCCAGAGGTGCCTGGACATAGTGGCTGCACCAATGGGCTCGATGGCGAGAAGGGCGCAGGGCCTGGAAGGGTTTCATTCTGCTGTGCACAGGGGTGGCTATGAGTTGGAACCGACTAGACAACTCAACCCAACAGGAACATGGGAATGCAGTTTCCTCTCCTCTGGGCTTACTGTATGCATTAGAAATCAATGACCTAGTTTGCCTAATGAACTGCTTATTGAGAATGTATGCTCATTGTTGATCAAATTCAACATTTCCACTTGCCCCTTGGAAAGCATGCGTCTTTAAAGTCACCATTAAAGAAAGAAAAACAATGTTTATCTACACACTGCCTTGGAATCAAATCATATGCATTGTGTGATTCTCCCCTTTTTGGCTGTGGGGTGCTCTTCTAAGATCCAGAGAAAATTGCCATTTCTGCAAAGTTGTATAGGAACTGCTCTACTGATTTCTCCCTCATTAGATGCCAAGTTAATTACTGTGAAATAGAGTTGGATGTGTATTGCTAGCGTTTGTATAGTGCTGTGTATTGCAGTGTTTTATGGCTATTGATTATCGGCCTCACAGTGTCCCTGGGTAGTGGACCACCATGTCCTTCCTGGTGCGCTAATTGGCATTCCGGCACAGGAAGAGCACATAACTTGCTGAAGGTCATTCACTGCAGAGAGCCATGGAGTTTGCAGGGGCCATCAGAAACCCTGTTTGCTGAATTGAAATGTCACAAATGGAAAATCAGAAGTATGGGACTTAAGCTCAGCTCTCCACTCATAGTGCAAACTGGGCAAGTCAGATAATCTCTGAGAACTTCACTTGGAAAATAATTAGGACTCATCAAGATTATTGAGGTGTAGGACCCAGGACTCGAATTGTCTAAAGTCTCAACAAATACTTTAATCACTGAAAGTAGACATCTCTGTCATAAAAACAATGAGTCAATAATCCCATCAAAATTGAGTGGAAACGTCTAGGCAGAACACTTTAGCACAGCAACCCAACAGAATTGCATTTAATCTTGAAGAGATGTGGTGGGGTTTAGGGGATATGGGATTCAGCACAGAGCCACCAGGCTCTCCCACGTAATAGGTGCATGACTCAGAGAATGGATGCAACCTCTCAAAATCTGTCAGCTCCTCTATGACCTAGGAATAGCACTTCCTGAAGTGGCCAAACCAAAGCAAACCCAGACG